AAACTGTTTCATCAGATCATCTTATACCTGCCTCAGAGGTAAGCTTCTATGATTTTCTTCTTCTGTTGCTAATGAATTTTACTAGATATATTTGTTTTTTTGTATCTTGTTTTGTTAGTTTTGAATGGATATATATGTTGACAGCTTTATGCAACTACTTCTTTTTGGTTGTTTGGGTATAGACTGTGTTTGGTAGCAACAAAAAAAAAACCTTTTAGCCTGTAATTTTGTCATCTGCTATTGTTATGTGTTGAATTTTATTAGCACAGAATAAATTTAGATGTTTTGAGCATAAAGATTCTACTGAATTGTAAGTTTTTTTTTTTTTTTTTTTTTTTTTTTTGATAAGGATGTTAGGGTGATAAGCCTTATTAGTCACTGATATCTGTGAGAAAGTAAAAGATAAAATAACATTTCAATTGAATTTTTCCTTCTTTAAAACAGAAGATGATGAAATTACTCTGTAGTTAAAATTTGTTGCTTTGCTTGTGAGAAACAGAAGCCTAGAATCTTGCTTTTTGTGTAGGAATTCTGGCATGTTTCTTTGTTTATTTCGTTTTCTTGTTGCCTTGTTATCTTTTTGACCTTGTAAATAACTTGAAAATGATAAAAGTTAGTGTTATATGTTGAATTCACCAAAGAAAAAGCCTTTGGAGAATGCATCACCCTCTTTCCTAGGGTGCTTTATGTCAGTGTCAATCTTTCTTGAGGAAATTACCAGTTGTGTTTCCCTAAAATTGTCCTTTTCTTAACTAGTTCACATTTATGTATTTTCTTCAAAGAAGTGGATAGTGAGCTACCACACTTGAAAATTGAAAGCTTAATGTCCAAGATTCCATTCCTTTTTTCAGTTCACCATTCTAAAAAGCTATGTTGCGCGGACTCTCAAAAATGTAGCCGCACCCGTGTCGGATCCTTAAAAAATGCACTACTTTTGGAGGATCCGACACGTATCGGCCACATTTTCGGAGAGTCCGAGCAACATAGCTTAATAGTAAAAAATTGTATTCCAGCTTTTTCATTTTCCTTTTAGTCCTTTGGATTCAAACATTTTCTCATTTGATTTCTGCTTGCTTACTCTTTTTTAATCTGTTGTCATTGCTTCTTTATGTTTACTGCAGAAAATTGAGAAGGAAGTGCTTGAAGAGGTTAAGACAATGGAAGTAGAGAGTGTTCCCCCTACTAAAGATAATGGAATAAAACCAATAGAAGAGGATTCCCCTAGTCCAGTGGTTTCTTCTACTGAATCAGTGGAAAAAATAGAGGACACAAAAAGCGAAGCTCCAGTAATTGAAGAGACAAAGAAGGATGGCGAGGAAGAAAAGCCGAAAGCTGAGGAACCAGGCTCAACAATAGCAGAAGAGGTTGACAAAGTTGAAAATGAAGAGAAGCCAAAAGCAGAAGAAGAAGCCCCAGCAATAGTCGAAGAAGTAAAGAAAGCTGATGAAGAAGAGAAGCCGATAGCAGACGAAGCAGCTCCAGCAACAGTTGAAGAAGTAAAGAAAGCTGATGAGGTAGAGAAGCCTACAATAGAGGTACCACCACCTGCCATCGTCGACGAGGTAAAGAAAGCTGATGAGGAAAATAAGCCAACAACAGAGGAACTACCAGCAACCATCACTGAAGAGTTAAAGAAAAGTGATGAGGAAGAGAAGCCTAAAGCTGATGAACCAATCCCAACTATAGCTGAAGAAGTAACGAAAGCTGATGAAGAAGAAGAGCCAACAATAGAGGAGCAACCAGCAACCATTATTGAAGAATTAAAGAAAACTGATAGGGAAGAGAAGCCTAAAGCTGATGAACCTATTCCAGTAATAGTCGAAGAAGTAAAGAAAGCTGATGAGGAGCCAACAATAGAGGAACCACCACCAACCATCATTGAAGAGGTAAAGAAAAGTGATGAGGAAGAGAAGCCAATAGCTGATGAGCCATTGCCCCCGGCAATTGAAGAGGTAAAGAAAGATGACGAGGACCAGAAGCCTAACGCTGATGAAATATCGCCACCTCCACCCACAACTGATGAGGAGGAGAAACCAAAAGCTGGGGAACTGCCGACTATACCTGCTACTTCAGCAGAATCAGAAGAAAAGACCGGAGACAAGGAAATTCAGCCTCCAACTGTTGAAGAAGTTAAGAAACTAGATGAGACACCTGCATTGGATGTTACTAGCAAAGATATTCCAGAATTAACCAAGGAACCTGCTCCTGAACCAGAAGCTCAAAGTATTCCTGAGCAAGTTGTTGATGTTATCAAAGGTGAACTAGAGGTGCAACCAGAGGCTGAAAAGGTTGAAATTTTGGAGAAAGGATCTGAAAATGAGCCTGTCAATGAAAAGCCTGAGGAGCAGCCAACAACAGTTGACGTTGTGGAAACATCAGTTGCGGCTGTTGAGGACAAGAAGGAGCAAGCAGATTTAGAGGCCAGTGAACCGCAAAAAGCTGTTGTAACAGTGTCAGAAGTTCCAGTGGCAGAATCTAAGATAGAAGAAATTTCAGTACCAGCTCCCATTGTAGAGGAAAAGCCAACTGAAGCTACTGAAAAGATTGAGCAAGAAGCTGCTGAGGCCATTACTGTAAAAGATGAAGTGATTCCAGAAGATAAGGTAGAAGAGGCCCCAAAAGGGGAATCTCTTCTTGCAGAGAGCTCGAAAAAAGCAACTTCAACCACTTTAGGATCATTAATGCAGAAAACAGATGAGGAAAGTCCAGCTGAAGTTGCTGGAGACAATGCTGTTGTTGAGGAGAAAGAAAAGGAATCGGTTCCAGTGGCTACAGTTGCTGAAGCACCAGCAAAAGAAGAGGTTGAAAAAGTTGAAAGAGAAACAAAGGATGTGAAAACTGATGATCAAGATAAGGGGGAGAAAAGTGTTGCTAGTGAGGAATTAGCGGCACCAGAAGCAAAGGTTGTTGAAACATCTGAAGTTGCTGAAAAGGCTCCAGAAGTGGAGATTAGTTCCAGAGACATCGAACCACTTGCTGAAAATGAGAGCACAAAGGACGAGAAAATTGCTACAACTAATGATCAAGATGAGAAGAGAGAGAAAAGTGTTGCGACTGAAGAATTAGCTGCCCCGGAAGCAAAGGTTGTCGAAACATCTGAAGTTGCTGAAAAGGTTCCAGAACTGGAGATTGCTTCCAGAGACATTGAACCAAATGCTGAAAATGAAAGCAAAAACGACAAGAAAATTGCTGTAAGTGAAGCCAATGAAGCTGCAGAAGTTGAGAAGAAAGTGGATGAGGCAACAGCTAATGCTACTGAACCTTCAGCTGAAGAAGCTCAGAAGCCAGAGACAGAGACAAAAGATGAGAAAATTGCTGAAGCTGAGAATGAAATTGAGGAGACAGCAAAAACAGAAGAAGTTCCAGTGAAGACAAAGCAATCAAGCAACCTTATGTCTAAGGTGAAGCAGTCTCTTGTGAAGGCTAAAAAAGCAATCATTGGAAAGTCCCCCAGCTCCAAATCTGAATCAAAGAATGAAGTCAAAACCAAATAAGATATCAGAAACTCTGAGATAAACATTACAATGATCAGAAGTGAGTAAATTTACTAGTGGTGTGATCTTTATTTTTCTTATTCTTAATCTTTTTCAATTTTTGGTCACCAGGGGTCAGGTATGCTACATTGTCTTGTTTTGTATGATTCTAGTGTTTGTCCATAGATATTGTATAGTTGTGCTTTGCTTTCTACTCTTCCAAACTAGAAAGAATGTTCCTTTTCTATGTTTTTCTTTTCTTATTTGACTGTTGAGTCAGGTTGTGAGTTTGTGGAAGAACCTATTCAATTGATTGGATAATGATGAACATGAAGTGTCATATTTCTATATCTAGGCTTGTTCTTCTGAAAACTCGTTTAATAGCTTCAAATACTTCCTTTCCCTTTACAAGGCTTACAACAACAACTACTACTACTACCTCATCCCAAACAAGTTGGGGCTGGCGATTGGCGATATGAATCCTCATTTCGTTCTATAAGCTCAACCCATATCACTATCATTACCAAATAAAATAAAAGTTGCCTTTACAAGGCTTGCTTTCAATATTTTCACTGCATTCATCCACAGAGATTTGCACAATCAGTGGCGATCTATTGTTACAATTCGACTTTTACAATGTTTTGGACGGGGATGGTACTGCTTATCGCAATATTTTCAAGTGGTGTCGACATATTGTATATTTACATGTTAGTTTTAAAGCGGGGTCACTGGTCAGATGATACTAGTGTACTTAATTCTAATAAGTGTCTCTGCTACTGGTCATATCCATTTCTGGAAACAAAAGGATAGGCAAAGAGAACCCCACCATATATATAAAAGTAGAAAGAAGGGATGAGGAGACAACACGTCTTCTCCTTTACAACGATGCTACGCATAGCACAATTTTCATCACAGAAAATTAATTGAATCAAAAGAGGAACAACAACTGGGGCATACAGTTACATGTGCAATAATATCGCCGGTATTGGCAATCAAGCTGGATTGATGACGTGAAAGGACTGTTCCTGTATACTTCCTTCTCATCTGTGACTCTCACCTTTTAAAATCTTATAACCAACTTTCAATATTCAAGACTTGTATCATCGTTCAACCATGGATCGGTTAAGACAAAGTCAATACACGTTAAATTAGTAATTTTCACGTTGATGGAGTGGGGACAATAAAAACACTGAATTAATGACTTTCTTTTCACAATCTTTCCCTTGTTTCAAAGGTTTATGAGTTGTTTCTAGAGAATCAAGAACGTGAGCAGGATGATAAAAGCAAATCAGCACGCTTTTCTAAATAACAATATTGTCCAAACCAACTTGCACCATCTCAACTATTCCATTTATCGAATAACTCTATCTATCAAGGACTAGGCAGATGCGAAGAAAAGCCTCCTTATATCTTACTATAAACTAAGAGGGACATAATTAGTTGGGAAGAGGAGGGTTTGAAATTTTCACAAAATGCTTCATATTACTGCACCTACTCTGCTTGGAGAAAAATACCAAAGACATAAAATGATCACCAGAGAAAGAGAAGGTTTCATTGATATTGAAAGGTACAGATGAATAAATGAGAACTCCCTTGCGCTTTCTTATTATGTAAACAACATGTTGATATGTCAGGTACACATAACACAGTTGAGATGCCAAATACTTGATCCTTCATGGGGAGAGTGGGAAGAAGTATGCTACAACTGCTTTTAGGATGTACATTTGAAGGAGAAAATTATGGTCTCTCTTTACATTACCAAAATCTGTGCATTCGTACTCTATGTTGATGCTACATTCCGATGGTAGTCACAAAAACCAGCATGGAACCCTATAGTTAGCAGCAATTAGATTTCAGAACTGCATACTGGCCGGATTTAAAAGAGGGGACCTTCCACTGAATGAGAAAATGACTTCTTCTCATTCATTGATCAAAACATAAAGTTGTGACTACGAACTGGAACCTGTATAAAAGACTCGGATCATTCAGTGAAATACTCAAATTTCTTCCAGGTTGCATACCCAAAAGCGAGGAACATATGTACAACAAAGGGTGTTTTGGCCGAGATTTGCAATATAATAGGAAAGAACTTCACTTTTACATCTTAGTATAACGAACGAAGTTGCTCCTCACTGCATTAAGTTGCCACTGATCAAATGAATGTCACAGAGTCTTTTCTAATACAAACTCACCAGCTTCACTTCCGGGCACATCTGATTGGCTGGTCAAGTTATTAGCTTCACTATCAGTAACATCAAGGAGTTGACAATTTTTTTGCACCAAAGCTGATTTGTCCAGAACTTCATTTGTTGCTTGCACCTGATATAGCAGGAAAGAGAACTTATTAAGACTATGCAGTGCTGATGTTATCTGACGACAAGGAAGACTTTTAGCTCGCCAAGAGTCAAAAGCAAAATATACCAAGGGTCAGTAATATTTCTGGTCCATGACTGCAAGCAATTATTATGTTAGACGAATTTACACTTGGCCCAGGAATCAGGATAATACAGGAGCAGTTTTACAGTATTAGTAATTGGCCCTCAGCTTAGGGACAGAAACAGAAGTAAAATATGTCAATTTAAATGCAACTACCATGGAAAATCATGAACCAACTATGGAACCAGAAAATTCAAAGTGTCACCAAGTGTGTGCTAGTAAGCCGGTGACAACCATGAAGAAACTCAAAGCATTTGCCTAAATCACCAACTAGATACCAAGCTACTTGCCATAGAATTTGAGAAATATCTAACAGCACTAGGAACCAACAGCAGCATGTGTGACCCTAGAAGAATTCTGAGTTGCTCCTGAATATTGAAGTATGAACAAGCTGGCACACTTCTATTGGAAACAGTCTCTCTGTCTTCACAAGGTACATGTAAGGTCTGCGTACACACTACCCCCCTCCCCCCCCCCCCAAACCCCACTTGTGGGATTACATCGGGTTTTGTTGTTGCTGTTGTTGTTGTTGGCACACCTACAGGCCCCTTGTTGGCTAATGAACATTAGGTGCATCCCTAGTCTCCCTAACAAGCTCCCTACGAGATATCAGCTTTTTTTCAAAATCAGCTTTAGTTTTCATATGTAACATACTCCTAATTACAGCTATACAGAGCTGTGCAGCAGTTGTGACATAATGGCAAATGAGGTCCGAAACGGAAAACCTTGTTATAGATTCCACCTTTATACTTCTATATTTCGTAACAGATAATCGGCCATTTCATGTAGAAGAAAAAGAAGACAAGACAGTTATGAGTTGCACCCTGTATATCTTCAATTACATTTAATATTTCTTCAGTTTATTCTCCTCTCAACAGAAAAATATCACCAAATATATGTAGCATTGACTCCTCAATAATAAACACTCTCTCTCTCCACTTCCACTAATTGTTCATAAACATGAATCTTTATCTACAGAATAATGCTGTGTCTGAATCCATTTATACATGTCATCACTACACACAAAGAGACTGTATATAGGAATCAGTAACTTCTATTCTCCGGCAATCAGAGTTTATAATGCCTGTTTTCTTTCACTTCGTTCACTTCTTCTTTTTTTCTCCTTTTCAATAGATAGAACATGATAAGTCCTTGATAAAAATACACACCTGACTGCATGTCTGATTTATTGGGAGGCTAGATTCAGCATTATTGACTATCTGTGAGTTCTTGTGTACTGGATTCTTGGAATCTAAAATCGGTGGTACACTCGGTCTGTCCACTGAAACTCCTACCCTTGCAGCGTTCAAAGGGGCAGCAGCACCAGTTGATGCTTGCCCTGCCAAAGGAGCCAAAGATGGTCGTGGGATTGGCATGGGAAGTCCTTGACCAGGATGTGCGAAGGCATGACGATTGGATACAGCGATTCCTGGATAAGCAGCAGAGGCAGAAATTGGAGGTGACGGAAAATGCGATCCTTGAACAGAGGGGATTGGAAAAATAGGGCAGCCAGAGGATCTACCATTCATCTCAAGCATACCCATTCCATAGCCCATCCCCATTCCCATACCCATCCCAAAACCCATTGGAGAGAAATGTGGCATTTGAGCAGCATGCATGTGCTGCACTCCAGCAGGAAACATCATTGGCGGGACACAAAACCCTGCTCCCATAGACATTATCTGCAAAATAAGAGGATGAGCCAGTTAGCAACTGTAGTTATGACTCTAACTCTCAGTTCTTAAAGAAAGCATAGAAGACCATCATCTAACCTGTACTTGCAGTTGAAGTGTCTTCAAATATTCAATAGCTTCATCAAGCATTGAAGCTTTATCCGCCTAGCAATCAATAAGGAAAGCCATCAAAATGATTGAAAATGAGAAACTACAGGAAAAGGAGTTAGGATGCAATAAGGTTGGGTGATGGCTAATTTTAAGATTACCAGCAACATTTCATCAAATAAACCGTGTCAGTTTCAAAGCATTTGAAATATATGAGTGAAAAAACAGCACAATCTTATTCTAGCTTATGCATTGAGCTCAAATAAACTTACTGACGTTTTCTTAGTTTTTAACTAGCTTAAAGCTGATTGCTTGATGAGGTAAGGTAGAAAAGAATAGACTGATTCCTTTTCTTATAGAGAAAGGTGATTGTAGCTAGCACTAATTGTTGTAGTAATTACAAGTATGCAAAACACCAAAAGAAAAATCCCTTTCCAATCTTACAGGGATTACAAAAAAGGCATAGACAAAATCAAATATATCAACTTCTCAGCATGACTTTAACTTATCCAAAGACTTTTACCTTGTTGCAGTTGGGTATTAGTTCCTGTAATGCACGCATCTTTTCGTTAATCCTATCCCTTCGCCTCTGTTTGCACAAAATGAATCAGAATGCATTTATATCCAAATTGTCTTACGAAAATTTACAACCAGAAAAGGCATAAAAAAAAAAAGGATGATATGGTAATGGTTAGCTCACCCGCTCAGATAAATTATGCACCTCTGCAGCTCGGCTTCTCTTTGAACCTGTACCTCCTCGAGTAGGGCAAGTTTTTTTGATATCAACAGATTCTTCTTCAACATCCTGAACAAAAGATATTTCCTTTACAGACTCAACATCCTAACAAAGAAGTAAGATACTACAAAACGATGTTAAAAATAATGGCCTTTAAACAATAAACTTACTTCACTTGGACACCCGGAATCCTCATTATCTCGGGATTTCCTCTTTAGATTATGAGGCTGATCACTTGATCCTCTCTCTGCACTGCTACCAGAGCATACAGATGAACAAACAACCCCATGTTCAGCATTTCTCTCACCATCAGCTGTATCTGGCTTTGCCTTTGCACCAGTAAACTGACCAGGGGTGTTGTCACTATTACTCGAATTATCTCTGAATACATTATCAGACTGTTCAACGCGACATGATCTATCGTGAAAGCTAGCCCCAGACGCTCTTGACTCGAGTTGAGAAGGTACCACATTAGTTGGATAATGGAGGTCATTTTCCTTCTTGGAACTTAAATAGTCTTCGACTGCTGCAGCATTAACATGATTGTGGCTATTTGTCACATTTTCTCCTTCTTTACTTCCCTTTGCTTCTAAGGTAGATGAATCTGAGACTAAGCCCCCAGTAATATTTTGAAGCTTAGTTGCTTTAACAAATGTAGCAGGTCTTGAGAAATGCGAGAAGTTCAGCAAGCTGGAGCAACTTCCAGGCATACGTTGCTTTTGGATTTTAATGCTTTTGACCTCACCAGCTGCAGCTTGATTTTGACCTGAATCCCCATACACTGACACTGGAGTATAGCTAATTTTACTGCTAAAGACATCTGAAACTCCTGATTCTAGATGACCTTTCTGAGGTGCCAATGAACATAACTGGCTAAATTTGGAAGAAGGAGAAACCTTTCTTAGCTCAAAATTACCAGCATTATGAATAGGAACACTATGTGAATCCCTAATCATCTTATCGGAACTACCTCTCTTATTTATTAAACCAAATTCACTCTGTCCGGATGGTTCGTTTGCCGTCACACCAGATATTTCAGGCAAAAACTGAGAACAATAATCTTGTTGAAGACTATCATCTGCTGCATAACCTAACCAAGGCACCCCTTCATCCTCTTGAATCAAATCCAGTTCATCAGCGGGCACAGATAATGGCATATCATTCAACATAGAGTCCATCACACCAAACTTCCCAATCTTTGAGGCATTTGATGGTAGTTTATTAGGCATAGGGCTCTTCTTAGCACTACTGGACTGGCCTTGCATCATAATCTGACCATTTTCCCATACAAGCTCAACCAAGTCATTCTCAGGACTGCATAAATACCAAGAAAATTTCTCAAAACATAGCAAACAACCAACAACAAACTCAGTGTAATCCAACAAGTGGGGTTTGGGAGGGTAGTGTGTACGCAAACCTTACTCCTACCTTGTGAATGTAAAGAGACAGTTTTCGACGGACCCTCGGCTCAGTAAAAGCACAAACATAGCAAACAACCAACTAGCTAAATATCAAATCAACTAGTTCCAATCAAATTAATAAAGGCATAAAACAAAATGCAAAAATGGAAACAGTACTCACAAAGAAGAGAGATGAGTTGTAGATGAGATTTTCTGTTGGCCAGATTCAAGCTTCCCTCTAGCCATTTTCAAAAACTCAGAGAGAGGCATGATGTAGAGAACTGTGATAACTGCTAACTCAGAATTGCTCCAACTTTGGGCACTCTGACATTATTAGGAACCCTTCAACACCTGGTCCAGTAGCATTTTTTTCCAGCAAAAATCCAAAATTTTAGAAGTCTCAAGCATATAACACGGAAAACCAAAAACTGTTTCCATAAACTAATGTCCTAATGAGTAAAATTATATAAAACCCATAACAGTAGTAAAATTATAAATAATTAAGTTATCAGTCAAAGCCCCAATTGTTTAATGGGGTTTCATAAGATACTTTAAAATAATAAAGCAACCAACTTGAGCTTTCCTTGAGTTAAAAAGTTCAATCTTTTTATTCAATTTCAATCATTAGAGTACAAAACCCTTCAAGATATCTTAAATTAATTAACAACCCACAATTATTTATACACTAATATAAAAAATTACTAGTTAATTTAAAACAAAACCCACCTCTTCAAAACACACCAAATTAACACTCAGGTCCAAGATCAGCTCTCATCCAAATGAAAAAAGCACCAAACTTTATGCAAGAAAATCTCAGTCTTGAACTAAGTATTATTTACTTCAACAAAGATAAATTCTTTTATTCTTGAAAACACCAATATTTGGGTCTCCACATGCTCAACCTAGCTTTCCAAAAAAGTACAAATATTCACAGCTAAACTCCCACTTGGGTTTTTGAGCTCCAAGAAAAACAACTGTACTTCTCGAAAATGTAAAGAAGAATTTAGAGAGAGAGGAGGGACAAATAAAGAAAAGAAAGTAATGAGTAAAAAAGATTTCAAAGAGAGGATATTGGGTAGTAGTAGAAGGCGGCGAAAGGCTTGGGAATTTTGCAGGTGGCCGAGGTATGAAGGCACTCTCCACAGTATATATTTTTGTACAGAAAGAAATCACAAGAAGAATGTATAGTACTACTTGCTTGCTTTTTAGCTTAAATTAAACAGAGAGCATCAGTTTCCAAATCTGTTGTGCTTTTAACCATGGTTAAGAAAAAGTACACTTAATAACTTAACCACAGTCATATTTACCCTTTTGGAGTATTTGTTGGACTACTATTGTCGGGTTTGTAGTATGATTAATTTTGTGTTTATTTTCACTACCAAAAAAAAGAATTGTGTTTATTTTACAGGGATGGAAACCGTTGGTCTGATCAAACGGTTGCTTATAACCTCTTACATCAGCGTTATTTCGTACTTGTTTTTAACTTTGTTTTCTTCTTTTCCTTCTTTGTGATAAAAATGGAGAACTTTAAAATATTGTAAAAATGAACTACAACAACTTCTCAGTTTTTTCAATTTCAGTTCAGTAAATATATGGTCCAACCTTAGCAATAATAAGCTCGATTTGGTTAGAATTCTTACGACCAACGTTGTTGGTACGTTGACCATCATTTCATTAACCTTTTTCTAGATAATAACATAGATTATGTGAAAGTCTAGTATAATAAATGTGCTTATCTCAGTTAGAAGAAAAAGACACTTAAACCTCAATATTGTAGGTTCTTACTTGGTGATGTGGCTCGTTATAATACTCCCTCTGTTTCAATTTACGTGAACATGTTTGACTTGGCACGAAGTTTAATAAAAAAATGGAGACTTTTGATATTTATGGTCCTAAACAAGTCAAAAAGGGTCCCAGAATATTTGTGTGATTATAAAAGCTTCGCATTAAGGGTGGAATTGTAAGTTTAAGCTAAATTGCTTCCAAATTTAAAAATGGGTCATTTTTTTTTGAAACGGACAAAAAAGGAAATGGATTCACATAAACTGGAACAGATGGATTACTTGGTTACTTTAATCTAAGTCCTCAGGATAGCACTAATACATAAATAAAATGGAATATATACGTATGTGGTATTGCCATCTCTATTATCAGAATATATTTAAAGTAACTATACCGATAAAAACTTAATCAAATGAAGCGATTCTATATACGATAATATTTTTATCTTTATTGAAATTTAAACCTTATTAAATGAGATAGTTATTGAATGTAAGATGAAGTCCTACGTTTTCTTTTTCATAACGAATATCCCCCTTTCCAATATTCTGTTGCTCTATTTTGAGAGTCTTAAACTCTTGTTCTTTCTTTTTATGTCTCATTTCTTATTTTTGTATCAATCGTTTTCTCCTTCCCATTAATAAAGAGAAGGGGAGGTGATGGAATCTGTCGAATTTAGTGAAGAGGGTAGATCATGGAGGATTGAGCTAAGAGTTTCTTCTCCTTACTGAAAGGAAAAATGTATTACAGTATTCAGTCAACTACCTAAACTACTGCTATAAAGCTAATCAACCGACTAACTACTGAGTTAGTTACTAATTGTTACACATACACCCATCATGTTAAGTTAACTACATAATACTACCCTACTTCATTCTTGTTACTCTCAACACTCCCCCTCAAGCTGGAGGGTGTGAACACATTCAGCAGTCCCAGCTTGGACACTAGATATTCATGCTGCTACCTTCCAAGCCCTTTAGTCAAAATGTCTGCTTGTTGTTCTTCAGATTGTATGTACTGTGGCATTACATCTCCTTTCTGCACTTTCTCTCTTATGAAATGGCAGTCTATCTCAATATGTTTGATTCGTTCATGATAAACTGGTTTCTCAGCAATTTGGATTGCTGCTTTGTCATCACATAGCAACTCAACTGGTATCTTCAACTTTATCTTCAGTTCTTCATAAGTTTGAACAATTGAAGTTCAAAATTGAAATACTTGCTTGACGTTTGTTCGTGGTAACATCGGAATTGCGTAATCAAGTGCTCAATTTATTGTCGAATTCGGTGCACTCCCTCCAACTCTTTCTCTTATTTACTATTTTAATTGCATATTTAATTTTAGCTTATACTTTAATTTTTACAATATGTTGAATGCTGCTAAAAGAGTGTGTAGAAAAGTTACTGGTAGAGGAAATAAAAAAAGAGGTAGTGCTTCAGCATCTGGTAGTAGTAGTAATACCCCATTTACACATGTTTCCGAAACATCGCCTAATGATAATATAGATTATGAACAATTACAAGAAGATTTTGGAATAGAAGATAATGAATCAGGAATGGAAGATGAGATACCAGCTACACCTACTAGTGCTGGAGCTGGTAGTGTTGGAGTTGCTACAAGGGGTGGTAGTCGTGGCACTAGTAGTAGACCACCTGTGGCTCCGACTACTAATCGTAGAAAAAGAAGTAAGGTTTGAAATTTTTTTGAAATAATTCAAGGTACTGACAGAGTTAGATGCAAACTTTGTAAAGATGATTTTAAACATTTGACTGGAGGAAATTTAGGGGGGACTGGGACGCTTAGTAGACATATGAGAATTGCACATCCCATAGAATGGGGCTTTGATGGTGATGAAAAATCAAACAACTATTAACCCTACTACTGGAGGACTTTTGAAATATGATAAAATGAAGGATCGTGAGGAGTTAGCAAAAATGATTGCTTTAGGCTGTCTACCTTTTTCTTTTGCTTCTTCATCATATCTTATTATGTATACTCAAAGGATTTACAATCCTTTATTTAAAGGTATCCCTAGAAGTACTTGTAGAGCTGATATCTTTAGACTTCATGGACAATATCAAACATACATACGTTATTTGTTTAGCCACCTTCCTTGTAGAGTTTCTCTAACTTCTGATATTGGCCATGCTGTTAATGGAAATGATTATTTGACAATTACATGTCATTGGATAGATGATACTACTTGTATGCAAAAACGTATTATCGCTTTTAGATATGATGAAGATCAGAGTCATACTGCTGCGTTTATAAGTAGTCCTATTTGTGAAGATGTTGAATTTTATAATCTCAAGCAAAAAGTATTGTGTATGTCTTTTGATAATGCTTCTAACAATAATGCCGTAATTTCAATATTAAAACTGCATTTGCAACCACCTCTTGATGAAATTTTTCATGTTAGGTGTGCATGTCATGTTTATAATTTAATTGTTAAAAGTGGCCTTGATTTATTTTCAACTGAGATTACTCATGTTAGAAGAGCAGTTGGTGTTATTCAAGGAAATAATAGACAATCTAGAATAAAGGAATTTAAGAATAGTGTGTCCAATATAACCTTAAACCCAGATTCATGCCAGACGAAACTGTTACTAGATGGAATTATACATATATATTTTTAAAATGTTGCTACAAATATAGATTCCCAATAACTGAAGTTGCTAATGCGCATTGTACTGATCCAAACCGTATGTTAACAACTAGTACTTGGGAGGTCATTAATGATGTTGTTAAATTTTTACATAAATTTTATACAGCTACTGTTGAGTTTTCTGGAGCATATTACCCTACTGTTACTATGGCTTTAGTACATATAGCTGAAATTTCTTTTTTACTCTTTGAATTTAAGAAGAAAGAACAATATAAGGATGTTGTGGAAAAAATGCAAGCAAAATTCAAAAAATATTTCTTTCCAATTCCTCTGATTTACTTAATTGGTGCTGTTTTAAATCCTTCTATTAAGATGTCTGATTGTCACCAATTAATGAATGCTTTATATACTTATATGGAGATTGGACCAACTGAAACCCCAGATTTATATGTTTCTATGAACAAGCTAAATGATTATTTACAACAATTATATAATTATTATGCAAATGTAATTGATGATGATGCTCGTACTGTAGGCAATGTTAATCCCACTATGCACTGTAGCACTTCTGCTACTGTGGATGATGAAGAAGGCCTTGATAGTTTTAATATTTTTTCTACATTTTCTAACACTCAAACCAGTAGCAGGAACATTGATGAACTTCAATTCTACTTGCAGAAGCAAAAAGTGCCTCGCACAAAGGAATTTTCACCGTTGGGATTGTGGCATGAGAACGGAAAGCAATTTCCTGTTCTTTTCGCTATGGCTCGGGACGTGTTGAATGTGCCAATTTCTACTGTTGCATCGGAGAGTGCATTTAGCCAAGCAATACAACAACTTGGAGACACCCGTCACTCATTGGGAAGCAATGCTTTGGAAGTTTTAGTATGTTTCAGAGATTGGATTAGGTCGGAACGAAGAAATCAAGGACGTGAAGATGTTGATAACCCAGAAGACGAGGAACTTGGAGATATATTAACACATGATAACCCATCCGAATTTAACACTCTAGAAGAAGGTCACTCAGTTCATATTGATTATGAAGAACTTACTAAGGCAATGCAAAACCTTTGAATTTACTCTTTTTTGGTTAATTTACTTGTTGTTAAATGTAAACCTTTCAATTTGTAAGTTTGAATTTTAAAATAAATGTAGCACTTGCAATTTATAAGTGCAATTTTTTTCATCTTCCTTGTATTCTTTATGTTAATACTTTGTATTAATATAACTTTCAATAGTTATACAAAATACAAAAAAAAAAGATTAAAAAATACACTAAACCCGGCCCGGCCCCCTCAACCCGTAACCCTTACGGTTCAATTTTTACCCGGATGAACCCGAACCCGTTAAATCCGTTAAGCCCCAACCCGTAGCCGGCCCGGACCGTAACCCTTACGGGTCCAAAAAATAGCAACTCAGCCCGGCCCGGCCCACCCGTTTAACACCCATAGTTCTTCATATAATCTGATCAACCATATTATTTCTGAGATAACTGAAGCCATGCTCCTGTTCTCAGCTTTAGCTGAGCTCTTAGACACTGTAGTTTGCTTCTTCGATTTCTAGGATATTAAAGATTCCCATACTTCACCAAGTATCTTGTCAGTGATCTCCTGGTGTTTGGACAAGAAGCCCAATCTGTATCACAGTATGCCTTGATTTCTCCTTCTGGTTTGCTTGATAGTAGCACTCCCAATCCAGGTTTTCTCTCTTGATGTATCTAACAATTCTCATGGTTGCTTCCATATGAGACCACTTTAGATGTTGCAGAAATTTGCTCAAGGTTTGAACAACAAAGCTTA